TGTACTGACGCTGGGCCTGCTGGAAGCTGTCGCGCTCCTCCTGCCGCTGGCGCTGCATCTGCACCTCCACGGACACCGAGTGCCTGCCGCTCTGCGCCGCCGGCCGGGGGCTGGGCTGCGGGGGGGAGAGCACAGTCAGCAGGGGCGGGCCAGCGTGCGGGACCAGCCCGGACACATCCTACAAATTCTGAAAAAGCACGTGCAGTTTTCTCAAGAGGCGTCTAACTGGCCTTGTGAGCCCCACAAACCCCGTCATCTTAAATTCTGATTACGGCTTCAGGATGGGTTACAGCGCAGAGGTCACCTTTCCAGTTTCCTTAGTGAGGTTTGGTAAATACTGACGCTAGACTCAGTTTACGTCCCTTGTTTATACAGCAGCTGGAAGAGAGTATGGCTGCTCAGAAGGCTACACGTAGATGCCAAAAGATAGAAAAGTTCGCGACAATTCATGCAAGCGGGACAGTCCGCGGGTGCAGGCACAAGCTGGCCGTGCTGGGGAGCCACGGCTGTTCCGTGTTCTAGCCTAGCAGCAGGATACAAGGTCGCTGATTTGTCTCTTAGGAAAGAACAATTACATTATGAACCAAGATTAGTTGAGAAGCCAGGCCCCATTTGGCATGCACACGGGTCCTCTGGTCCACGGATGGTGGCCACACACAAACGGAAATGCTGATCCAAAGAATAAACCTGCGCGCCCACGGATCCTGTACTGGGCTGTGAGCTAGTACCTTCTGCCTGAGTTACTAGGAAGGGGCGTTTTTACCTGGGTTAATTACATGCTGCAGAGAAACTTTCACTCCTCCTGGCTGAGTGCCTGGGGCAGCCGGCCCTCTGCTGACCGACCGCAGCCAGAGACCCGCTGTGCGGCCGGGCTGTGCCCTGCGGACGCTCTAGTCTCTCACTGATGGCTTTAAGCTCGCCTCTGAGAGCTGGCCTTTTGAAACGAAAGTGGCTCTGCTCAAAATAGACACCGATACCTCTAATTTTACAGAACACCCCACAGTGGTTCACCTAGCATCAGTGGCATGCGCTCCTAAGTAACCCTTTCTGGTGCTTGTCGAGCTCCGCCCTCTCTGTGTTGGGCAATAGACGTCTTCTGAGAAAAGAATGTCTGTTACATACAAGTTATTGATTTTTTAAAATAAATTTTTAATTTTTTTAATGGAGGTCCTGGGGACTCAACCCAGGACCTCGTGCATGCTGAGCACCTGCTCTACCGCTGAGCTGCGCCCCCCATCCCCCCGCATCTCTTACAGTCAACGGTGGACTTGGACCTGATAATACTTTTCTAAAATAATATGAGCCTCTGCATCTGTCTGGGGCATCGCCGGGGAACATGTGTGCTTGGTACTTAAGAGCAGCCCCGCTGGTGGGCTTTTGTGTGAAGAGAAAGACAGCAACTTCTGTCGCCCTGGAAGTGGCCTGGCCAACTGCGTCTCACTGGCTGGTAGGCAACAGTAAGGCAACAGACAGGACAAAATTTCAGAGCATGTGGGCATCGCCGGCGAGCGTATTAAAAATATCCCAACACAAAAACTCCGCGAGAAGCGATTAGGGTTTACAACACCCCGGCCTCTACTAGCGCGTGTTTATAACCACACGCATCAGAACAAATGTGTGTTCAGAGACCCACTCCGCAGTGCCGTCAAACAGCCCACCAGCGGTGGCTTCGGCGAAGAAAAGACTTCGCCGAACACTCATGCAAACAAAGCAGGAGGCCGGTGCTCCTCAGGTGACAGGAGACAGTTCCTTCCATCCCTCTCAGGGACGCCGGCCCAGGGGAGCGTGGGACTGGTCTGTTGTTCACGGTGCGCCCAGGAAACTTGCGAGGAGACCCTGGTCAGGGAAGGCAAAGTGAGGGCACACACCTTCATAAAGCACCCCGTTTTCCTTTCCTTCCCATCCGGGCTAAGCGACAGCTACCTGTCAAGGTCTTGAGAGACCTGGCATTCAGCTGTAGAACGTAACAACCAGCTTTAAAGCACGTGCTGCTCTGTGACACGCTGCTGGTGGAGCAGGGAAAAGGAAATGCAAGGTCTGGTAGAAACTGCAGCTGTATTTTTAACGTGTTGCTCCCAGAGGCCTGAAAATTTGATTCTGATGGTGGGGGGTTGGGGGGGGAGTTGAGGGGACTTTGTTTCCACAACGGTGTGTTTTCTGACACTGTTCACCTTCTCAGCGGTGCGAGCTGGCTCTGGGTGAACTCCAGTAATGAAATTATCATCAGACGGGATCTGGAAACTTAAATGGGTTTGGACCTCGGCAAACTGCCACACTTCGCTCTGTTCACTCACTCTGATGAAGTACAGGCCGCAGCCTCACTACTGGTACTTCCTCGTTCTCTCTGCAGAGCAGGCGAACGGGCAGGGTGTTAGAGGCACTCTCGTCTTTGGGATGAAACTGGGCCAGTTTTCGAGGAAGAGTGTGTTCACGACGGGCCCGGAGCAACCACTAAAGAAGGTTGTTCTGGCAAGTTTTCTACTTGGCCTGAATCAAAAATAACCTGATGCATGACTTCAGTGAAGATCTCCTCAAAATGTAAATTGTGGGAACAGTGGTACAACCAACAACCCCGAGCTTCAGGCGCTGTGGTTTTGTGGTCTCCATCCCCGCAGCAGAGACAGTGTCCAGAGTCCAGAATCACACAAAGGTGGAGATGAAGAAAGAGCTCATTTGCAACCCCAGAGAGAAGGGCAAGATGGCAACAAGGCGCCCCCTCTACAGGGACGAACACAGGTGACGCCGGACTGTAATGGACCTGGGAGTCACGGGATGACAAGGCGCTGGCTTTGTTCTAAGAGTACAGAGTGTAAATAACCCTGGCCTTGTTTTGGATGAAACTGGTGATGAGCAATGAGCTTTCAAGTAAAAAAAATTGCCAAGATGGCCAAGGCCATAATAATGATAGAGGTTGTAAAACAGAAATAAATACGTAGTTATCTCTTTTGCAGGACCCCAGAGAACTATGGTACGCGACTCTTTTCATGGCTTACGTTTAAAAGCAAAAGTCGGGGGGCGGGCACGACTCAGCGGCAGGGCGCCGGCCTCGCATCTGTGAGGTCCTGGGTTCAATCCCCAGCACTTCCATTAAAATAAATAGATAAGTAAACCTAATGACCCCCCCAATTTTTTTAAGGTAAATTAAAAAAAATAAAATCACAAGTGAAAACTACGCAGGTTGCCTTTGTAAATAAATGGCAAAGTACTAGTCTGTGCCATGATTATAGAGAGATACTATTTATAGTGTATAAAAATCATACAAAGCTTGGGAAAGGTGCCCACCATTGGCATTCTTACTAGTGGAGGACAAAATACTGGAAAATACCTTCCATAGAATGTTTCACTAAATTAAGTCATTAAGCACTTTTCTCCGTCAAGTGAAGTCATTCTTATTTTTCCGAAAAAGATAATACAAAAAACAAAACAAAACCAAAACTGTTAATGGACTAAAGAAAGAACAAATATACACTGTACAAAGTTTTGGTTCTAATTAGAACTGGGTGATATTATCAGACTTTCAGAGCTCCATGTAAAAAGCAGATGTGTCTTACAAAATAAAACTCATTCATTTTATTAACATTTACAGAAAACATTCAATAATTTTTAAATACTTTAATTTTTCTTCACACAGATAAGAAAAAGAGCACTATGCATGTGTGTATGTGCACTTATATGTACTCACATACACACATGCATTATATAGTCTTATAAATGATCATTTGGGGTGGGTTTTCTACTTAAATTATGAATAATAAAAATTTTCAAAATGTTACCTATGTCCAGGGCAGGTAGAGAAAACAAAAATAAAATACACAAAGTTTGTGTGCTTTGGACGAAAACCTAGGATGAAAATGACAAAGAGGGCAGTAACACAAAAAACAGTGCTGTCCTGTGGCAATTTAATGCGCTAGAACCCGAGTAGGGACTCCATACTCTGATAAAGATGGTAATTTAAAGATCTGGGAGGGGGAAGAAATAGTTTTTATGCCATAAATCATGCAAAGAGTGTTAAGTGGTTTACTCTGTTTAAAAGTGGCCGCTGCCAATACTGGTAACGATTTTCTGCAGTGGACTTGCCGGCAACTTCTGATCAACAAAGTTAACTTTTGTCTCCGGGTCCTGTCCTCCGAGCCCTCCCCTCCACCCGCCACACACTGTGCTTACATAGCGATCGATTGAACTCCATGGGCTCTGAATGTTGAAAAGCTTAATTGCCACTAATGATGTGAGTAATGGTTGAAAAACTGCAGCGCCTACCAATTTCCCTCATCAAGATTTTATAAATATGTGTTTTGGTCTTAACACATCATTTGTCTTCGTCTCATCTTTCCCAACCAGGGGTTTGGATCTATTTTCCGTCTTATCAGCAGGTAGGCTGAAAATCAAGGACCCCTCTAGAGTGGCCGATGGTGGAAGGCGGCCCCGTGAACTGCACCCCTGCGGGCTCCGGGGTGGGACCTCGGCAGGAGGGTGGGTCGGGGCCGCTCTGCAGCAGCGCAGAAACCCCCTGTCATGCCCGAGGGGCGCGCCTTCGCTGCAAGAGGGGCTTTCCCTCCAGGTCGATTTCCCAGGGAGGCGACATCCACCCGACCTGAAACGCAGTCACACTGCGCACGGCGAGGCTGTCCGCTGAGGAGGCATTTCCTGAGTCGAGGCCAGAGCCCAACACGAGGAAGTGACAGCAAGGCCCTCTTGAGTCTTAAGAAAGAAGATGACAAAAAGAGGACATCGTGTCTCCAGCTTCCCCGGGTCCGCGGAGGGCCGTCCAGGCCAGACCCAAAAGCGGTCAGAAGAGCCGTTCAAAGTCCAAGGCAGGAAAATGGAGAAAAACAAAGCAAAAACAGAAACATCTGTGCCTAACATGCTGACTGCCACATCACCCAAATCTGTGTTTCCTAAGGGGCACACGATCCACAGTTAAGGACAGACAGCTGGGAAGGAAGCTGGGGGGAGAAGAAGGTACTCACATGGCAGGCGATCAATTTCCCATCTGGGGGACCAAACCACTTTCAGTCACTACCAGCCGGGCTGGAAAGGACTGAGCAACACAGCTATTAAAAGCTCCATTATCCCATCCTTCAGCCGTGTCAGCCAGCAAGACTGCTCGTGGGCAAC